TTGATGGCAGCAGCACAGCTGATATTTCTGCATCCTGATGGCCGTCTGCTTCCACATCCAGTTGGGGATGGAAGGAGACACAGCCTGTTGCTTCTTTGTGAAAACTGCTGTATCTGCTGCATATCCTCTAATATGGAATAACTATATCCATGTTTTCCCTTTTTATTCTGTTCCCTTCGCCCCTCCAGCCACATCCTTCATGCAGCTGGATGATGAGAACCAGTGCCTGAAAGCAGCGCAGGACTGTGGCCTGTATGAGAAGTGCGGCGCTCTTCGATCAGAGTACGTGTTAGCCTGCACAAAGCCCATACCCGGAACGAGCCGATGCAGCCAGTACAAGTGCCACCGGGCCCTGAGACGCTTCCTGGAGCGGGTACCTGAGGAGTACAGCCTGGGGGTCCTGTTCTGTCCCTGCACCAACACCCTGTGTGGGGAGAGAAGGAGGAAAACCATCGTGCCCTCCTGCTCCTACCAAGATGCTGAGGGCCTGCAGCCCAACTGCCTCCACCAGCAGAGCTTCTGTCGCAGAGATGACCTGTGCAGGTGACAGATCTGGTTCACTACGGTTATTATATCCATTACAATCTGTGGGTCCCGACAAAAAACAAACTCTTTATGTTTTAAGATTCTGTAAAATGAATCATTAAATGAACATGGTTTTTCCTTTTATTTCTACATTTCAAAAACGGAGCAGAAAGCATCAACCTTAGATGGAAGAGATTAGAAATGAAAGCAAACTTAAGAGGGAGAAGAACACAATGAAAGGGGGGAGAAGCTCACTGCTTTGTAATAAACAGAATCCCACCCAGAAAATCCTCTGATTTCTAGTTATTCATTATTTTACATTCATATCTTCTTTTTCAGACATCTTGAAACGTCTTGAGACACTCCAAAAAGTAAAAGTTAAAAAAACAATCCAATGCACTTTGTTTTCCAAGTTTGAAGATGTTTCTCTTCCAATCCAGGAAGCTTTTTCAGTTCTAAATGTCTGGATTAGCGTTGAGTTCCAGGCTTTATAGGGTAGCCCAACAAAAGCCTTGGTTGTAATAGTTTAGAAAACATGCAGGTTGAAACTGGAAAATCGTCTCCATCCCTTAATAATCGGGGTCACTGAGCTCGTTATTGTCCTGCAATACCCGATACTGGCCCATTCCTCTGAAAGGCATAAGGCAGGTGTTAAGGGTCATTGTTGGCCAGGCTGACCTGGTGAGATAATCTAGTTCCCCTGCATAGCGATGGGGGTTGCCATGATA